GCAGGAGCAGGATATAGTAAGTCCTCCTGAAGTACACTCTGACTCCACCTCTAGATCCCTTCGAACCTAGAGTTCTAAGACTGGCTGCTGTGAGGGAGCTCTGTTGCTCAGGTATGTGACTTCAAGGACATTATAGGTTTGCTGTCAATCATCAATACATTCTGGGTGTTGACAAACCTTTCTGGCGTGTATTTTCTGGGTATATATTTTAGACTTCGAACGTAATAGTTCCTGTTGTAGCTATGTCACTGTGTCATTGTCGTAGGAAAGTATTTCTAGGCAAGTAAATGAATGGGTATAACTGGGTCCCAATAAAACTTTATTTGAAATTTTAATTTCACACAATTTTTACATATGACAAAACATGCCCCCACCACTTACCTTTACCCTTGTTGTGGTGCTTACAGTTGAACCCGGGTGCCTCGCACATGCTGGGCAAAGTCTCTCCCCCTGAAATGTATCCCCAGCCCTTCAGTTGACTTTTTCAACCACTTTAAAAAAAAACTAAAAAAAAAAAATTACCCTGTGAGCAATAGAGAAATAGGAAGTGGGATGCCATTTGCTAACTCTTGTCATACATCGCCAGCAAGAATAAGCTAAGCCCTCACAGATCCTATTTAAAATCTTCGTTGAGAGAAACAAATTGAGGAAATAGAAAGGAACATGCTGTCTGTGTACTTTCCCCTTAATTTTAGGTCTTTATCTGCAGATCAAGTCAAACTGCTGGACTCTTAACTTGATCCACTGCAGTCAAGTCAGCTCTGGCCACATCCGTATTCGCTGAATTCATTTAAAACATCACTCTACTCTCTGCTTTTATGGATGACCACTACATAATTAAATAATTTCATTTCCATTTTGGCACATGCAAACCAAGTGTGATTGAGAACATTTTCTAGGGGGCTGGGATGGAATGGCTCAGGCGACAAGTGCTCCGGCTGCACTTGCAGAGGATCCAGGTTCAATGCCCAGCACCCACGCGACAACTTGCAACCCTCTGTAACTCCAGCTCCAGGGAAATCTGACGCCCACTTCTGGCCTCTGGGGGCGCCGCATGACACAGTGCACAGATGTCCATGCGGGCAAAGTGACCAAAGCATAAACTAAAAGTAAGTAGATAAATAAAGTCTGTCGAGCAAGAAAACATTCTCTAACAAACTGCTCTGTGCCTGCCTAAGGTGACCTGCAAGGACTGCCCTTCAGAATTCACTTTTTTTTTAAAAGATTTGTTTATTTATTAAATATACAACATTCCTTCCAAGTATGTTTGTATGCCAGAAGAGGGCACCAGATCTCATTATAGATGGTTGTGAGCCACCATGTGGTTGCTGGGAATTGAACTCAGGACCTTTGGAGGAGCAGGCAATGCTCTTAACCACTGAGCCATCTCTCCAGCCCCCCAGAATTCACTTTTGAGGTGAAACTTCATTTCTCCGGCTCTCCAGGCAATGCTGTGGACTTTTTGCTCTGCTAATGATACACAATTACCAGACATGCCTACCTTGTCTTCTGGATTTCGTCTTGACCAGGGTAGGAGCTTCAGGCATTCAGCTGGGAAAATTGATCAAAGTAATTAAGTGGCCTCCCGCTCCCTGGCCCTGGTCTGTTTAGGAGCCTGTGCTTTTTGGAAGAGGGCTGTCTTTCACAACTTGGAAAGGCTGGTGCCTGTTCTCCCAAGGGAAGACGGCAAAGGTCTCTTTCTCGGGCAAAGTGAATGTCCGAACGGTCTTTCCATAGGCTTGGCTTAAAGGACTCTCTCTGTTAAGTTAGCTGCACCCTAAGATGAAAACAAGCACACTCAGCAGGTCGTCGTTCTGCTTCCCTGATACCAAATCTAAGTGACAACAGACCCGTGACTTGCCCTGGAGGCTGAGAAATTGCGCACGCACGTCCCACCCTGCCCAGCCCACAGATGCATGACTGAGCCTGCGCCAGATCAGATATTTATTTACTCAGAGATGTTCTGCGAATTTCCTGGGAAGGTTTACTCATTGACTTCAAAGACTTCAGTCGTCTGGACCTTCTACCAAAAGAGGCATGGTTTGCAGTGGTGCATGGACGAGAGGGCCCGTTGAGAAGGTGATCGTGTGCGCGCAGAGCCCTATAGAGGACCCCTGTCTGCTCCCGTGCACGCTGAGCTTGCTTACACTTGGTCTTTGTGTCTCGGCAGCAGTCTATAGCTTTGCTGTTCTTCTTCCACCCTGTCGTCTCTCCTGAGCCCTTTCCTCTGGGTCTCAAGTTAGTGGCACTGAGATGGGGAATGGTCTTGGTGTCCTAGCTGCCACGGTTGGCTGTTCGGTCTTAGGTGGAACTGTGAGTTAGCTTCACCACCTCTGGAGTGTACCTAGCTCTTTTAAGGTGCACAGCTATTCACTGACGCCTCTGTTCATTTTACCCCAAGAGTCAAGTGTCCTGGGACCCACTTCGTTAAAGGGTTCTGAAGGCTTTTTCTTCTATCAGAGTCACGCCCGGGGCTCGCCCTCTGGGTGGTACAGTTCCTCCTCCCTTAAGCCCGCCGGTCTTCCGTGAGTTGTTGGCGTGGTTTGATTGATTTGGCTGATTTACTCACTAATCATCTTTGCTTCTCTCTTGGTCATTAGTCTCCCGTGCGCTGCTCTGCCGAGAGCTGCCTGAGTCTCGTTTGTGAGACGTGTGCCCCGCATCCATCCTAAAATGAGGAATGGCAGCTAGCTAGTAGGGGGGCCTTTGAGATACAACGTCAAGGTTTTTGAAGAATCGATTCCTTTCTGACCTTTATAAAATTTTTTATTTTTACTATTTTGTAATTTCGTGTGTATGTCGGGGTGGGGCATGAATGCACCTAAGTACAGGGGTCCTCAAAAATCCGAATTGGGCATTGAATCCTCTGGAGCTGAAGTTCCAGGCGACTGAGCCTCGGGTTCTCTGCCGGCCACACTCATAACCCCTGGCCATCTCTGCAGCACCTCGATTGTTTGGGTTTTATTGTTTTGAGATGTGATCCTTCCTTTTAGTGAGTTGCGATCCCAAGGGAATTAGACCGAGAGGATAGCTCAGCTCTCAGTCGTTCACCTTGCTCCTAGCCTAAGCAAGTGAAGTGAAGCAAGTCTGTGGCATGTGGTCCAGGTTTCCAAACAATGGGGCGCAATAGCGATCGATACCGCGCTAGTGAGAAAGGGCAATTGTTATCTCCAGCATCTGTAATCCAGGGAGTCGTCAATACTCCCAGACCAGCAGGCTTCGGTCCTTCCGCCTCTGTCCCCTCTCCTCTCCCGTTCTTTTCTTTCTCCCTATCCCTTGGAAGCATAACTAATCCTATGGCCATATTCGCCTCTGATAATGATTCTCCTCCTGTGTTGTCTGTCTCGGGGAATGGTACACCATCCTGTCCAAACCCGGCACCCACGTGTCTTCTATGCTCTTCCCTCCCTTGGCTTACTGTTTAGCTATTCATTCCTTCAGTTTCATGTCCTCTTTAGCTCGGCCACCTGCTCATTGGTTTCATTCCCTCCTGCCCCTAGGAGGGATGAAATCCCCTCCCTTTCTCCCTAATAGCTTACAGTCATGCCCCCTCCCTCCATTACTCATTCTCCAGGAGTCACTTTCCTGGGGGATTCAGTTCATTCCTGTAGCACAGTTAGGGGACTGGTCTACGCTTCTACAACACCCTTTATCTACACGGAATATATATATTTTCGAGACAGGGTTTCTCCATAGCTTTTTGATTCCTGTCCTGGAACTAGCTCTTGTAGACCAGGCTGGCCTCGAACTCACAGAGATCCGCCTGCCTCTGCCTCCCGGGTGCTGGGATTAAAGGCATGTCCCACCACTGCCCGGCCAGAATATTTATTTTTGTCACTATGAACAGTAACCTTTTTCTTAGCTCTGCTCTTGTGTCTTCATTGTAAAACACAGGCCTAATACATGATCAGTAAATGGGTTTTGAGACTGAGTATTCCTGTGTAGCCCAGGATGGCTTCAAATGTGTGATTCTTCTTCCTCAGCCTCCCTAGTGATAGACTCAATAAATGCTCAAATCAATGAGCTGTATGCTCATTCTTTACAAAAGAAAATTAAAAATTCGAGCTTGTAATTTGGATGAGATAACAAGCTAAGAAATATTTTCTTTGTATAGATTTTTAAGGTTATCAGTAGCATTTTCACATGTCTTAGTTATTTCCCAGTTTTTATATCACTAGCAAATAGAATTGATCCTCTCTTATAATTGCAAAGTGATTTCCTACACGTCATTCTATGATCCGCATTGCTTGGAAGGGAAGCACGTGTCTTGCGTTCCCATGGTGCCCTTGTGCTGCTCACGGGGCTAGGATCAAAGCTGATGTTGTCAGGTCTGCTAACAGAGGGAAAGCAGCCCTTCCAGGAATCAGTCAGCTTGACAAATGCTGGAGGTGAGAACAGTCCCTCCTGGGTATGCCAGTAAGGCTTGCAGAGGGCTCAGGGGGAAGTGGAGACCAGCGGTGGAGAACCAGGAAGGAGCAGCAGCTGCACGCGCAAGGACTGAGCGTCAAGCCAGTATCACACAGACCACATGAGCTGCTTCCCCAGAGGAGCTCACATCTGGACCATCTCAGCTGGGCATTTTAGTGCTGGCTTGTGCAAATGATGGAGAAAATGACAAAAGAGATAGGTTCATACTATGTAGGTCTAGCTATCCCCAGCCTCCATAGTGTTGGGATTAGACACATGTGCCACCATAGTCAGCTGCTCTTTGAAAGCCGCGGGAGACAAGGATGCTTGCCTGGTACTCTCATCCAGTTCTTTTCCAGCTGATCCTGAGGACAGTCCGGGGTGTACAGTATGTCTGAACAGCCTGCTCTGTTTATTAGATGCCACACCCAGATGTGTATTTCCATTGATCTATCCCCGAGATACATTCATAGCTATACTCTGGTCAAGTAATCACGCAGAATGAAAGGCAGAAACCTTGCCAAAGAAGAGAAACTAATGCTCTGCTCGTAGAGAGCGGCTTCCTTACGAGCAAAGCTGGCCCCGAGCTTTACAGAAAGCTTGACCAAGCAGTGTTTATAATCCTGAATTTCTATGAAGTAGTTCTATAGTCTTGTGTAGATTTTTAAATAGAGTATCTGTTACATAGGAGAGAGAACTGTGTTTGGCCTGTGGACTCAGGAGGATTCTCCATGAAGAAGTTACTCAAAGAAACGGTAAGCAATGTAATAAACCACTTAGGTGTGTAGTATTCTTATCAAGACTTTATCTTTTTGACACATGGTGTTCTGGAAGCACATGATTAAAAGTTTTTTATCTTGCCTATATTTATACTTTATTTCTTCCAACTCTTTATTGTCATAATCAGGACCCCTAGAGAAATACTGCTTTTCACATTATTTCTTAGGACTTCCACCAATTGTGTCTTTATTTATTAAACTAAATGTTTTTATCAGTAGTTTTCTATTAAAATTAAGATTATCTGTACTATAAAAAACTCTTAAATTATCATCATCAGTTTGCTTAAATTAGCTATATTTTTTAAAGATTTATTTATTTATTTATTTATTTATTTATTTATTTATTATGTATACAGTATTCTGTCTGTCTGTATGCTTGCATGCCAGAAGAGGTCACTAGATCTCATTACAGATGGCTGTGAACCACCATGTGGTTGCTGGGAATTGAACTCAGGACCTCTGGAAGAGCAGTCAGTGCTCTTAACCTCTGAGCCATCTCTCCAGTCCGAATTAGCTACATTTTGAGTGATTGTTATGATGTGTACTTTACTCTCTTGCTTTGAGTCTCTTCTCATCCTTTCTGTGAGTTTATAGCACATCCTGTAAACAGTGGTTTCTCTGTCTCACCCCATCCCACAGTTGTTTCCAAATAACCACTCATTAACTTACATTAATTATTAAAACTTGACTAATAGCACAGGCTTATTACTAGCTAACTCTTACATTTACATTAAACAATATTTTTATCAAAGTTTTGCCACATGGCTCAAGGCTTGTTACCTCATTTTCTACATGTCCTGTTTGTTCAGTGGCCAGCTGGCATCTCTCGCCACTCTGCCCCTCCTTATCTGAGTTCTCAATTTGATTGTTCTGCCTAACTCTATCCTCCCTGCCTATTGGTCAAACAGCTTTTATTATTAACCAATGAGAGGAATACATATTCACAGTATGCAGAAAGATCATCCCACACACCATCCCGCTTCCCTCTTCCTCTGATGTCCATGTGCAGACAAAATGTGATCAGCTAGCTCCCCTCCCCTGCTGCTGAGCTGTCCCCACCATTGTGGACTCTAACTCCCTGGAGTTATAGGTCAGAATGAAGATTCTTATGTTGCTTCTGGTTATGGTGTTTTAATCATAGCATCAGAAAACTAGCTACTACTTGTTTTCATATTGTTGAGATCTTATTTATTCTTAGATAATCTGCCATAGAGACTTACTTGTTGTAGGAAGCTGCTTGTTTGTTTTCTTGGCTGCCCAGACTCCTGAAATAATCACACAGAAACTATATTATTTAAATCACTGCTTGGCTACTCATTTAAGTGAATTGCTAGCTAGCTCTTACACCTAGTATTAACCCATTTCTAGTATTTTATATTTTACCATGAAGCTTGTGGCCTATTGGCAAGGTTCCAGCATGTCTGTCTCTGGCAGTGGCTCCATGGCTTCTCTCTTACTCCACCTTCTTCCTCCCAGCATTCAGTTTAGTTTCCCCTGCCTAGCTCTGTTCTTCCCTATTAGGCCAAGCCAGTTTTCATTATTCATTAATGGTAATCACAGCATACAGAGGGGAATCCCACATCACTCACTAACATATTAAAAGTTATGGTTTTTTTTTCTGTAATGCAACAGAAAATGGAAGTAACCTTAGCTCATGAAGGGATGTTTTTAGATTGATACTTTTAGCTACAAGAATATATGATACTCAACAATGAATTCACTAAAAGAAGTCAATAATATGATCTTATTTGCAATGATTTCAAAAAAAATCTCACAACAAACAAAATCCTAAGCATAAAACTTAACTAAATATGGTAAATATCTCCACAATGTAAACAATAAAGCACTTAAGAAACTAAAGAAACAGAATCTGAGAACTCTGTCTATTGTTTATGGTTCAGTCTAATTAATACTGTGAAAACAGCCATATCATCAAAAATGATTCATAGATCCAAACTAATCCCCATCAGATATCAATGTCATTCTCCACAAAAATTGAAAAGCAACCCTAAAATGCCTCTGGAAGTAAACAAAACAAAACAAAAGCAAACAAACAAAAAAAACCCGAGGAGCAAAAGTAATACCAAGTAGAAGAGCAAGGCTGCAGGTATCACAGTACCACCTGACTTGAAGTTATACTGTATAATGTATAGTGACAAGATAAGCATGGTACTGAAACAAAACCAGGCATGTAGGTTGAAGTGCTAGGAGGCTCAGAGTCGATCCACACACTATAGTCATCTCATTTTTGACAAAGGTTCAAAAGCATGTTTTGGAGAAAACACTGACTTTAACAAGTGGTGACAGGAAAATTGGATATCTACACACAGACAAACAAAACTAGATCTGAATCTCTCATCTTGCACAATACTATATTAAGACTGGCTCCATGACCTTAATGTGAAACCCGAAATTTTGAAACTACTAGGTGAGGCCTGGTGTGGTGTTGGGAGGCAGAGGTAGGCAGATCTCTGTGAGTTTTATTCAGCCTTGTCTGCATAGTGAGTTTCAAGATGGCCAAGGCATTTTCTTGGCCTGTCCCCCCAAAAAAACAACCAAACAACAATAAAACTAGGCTCAAGTAATGACTTTATGAATAGGAAATAATAGCAAGAACTGACAAATTGGAGTTCATTAAATTGGAAGGTTTCTGTCAGCAGGCAGCAGGAGACAATCAGTGGATGGGGCACACAGCCTACAGAAAGTAAGAAAATCTTTTCCAGCTATCCGTATCAGAGATATTGATATGCAGAATATCTTTTGAAATAAAAAAGAAACATCCCAAACCAGATAATTCAATCAGAAGACAATTCTCAATAGAAAAATTATAAATGGATGGAAAAAAAGATGAAAAAAGCATAATTTGTGTCAGCGACGCAGGAAAGACTATTTCAATGTCTTTTATCCAAGAGTGGGCCTGATGTATTCAGAAGAGTTCTCGTGTCTCCTGTTTGAATCTGAGTCCTGAACAAAGGCCGTCTTCTCCATATATTGAACAGCACAGCAAATATGGTGACAGAAAGGAATGAGGGACTTCTGTCTTCATTTTTTACAGGAGTCTCACAAAGGAGAAGATTGCTGTTCTGGTCCTATTAATTCAGAACAACATACCAAGATAATCTCTATCCACTGGTTACTTCAAACATGTTTAGAGAAGGCTCTGTTTTCTATGCCTTGCTGCTTCAGGTAGATGGTCTCAGATCTGGTTACCACCCATCACACACACATCATATTGTTCTGCCCAGCAGACAGCAGGAGCCATGAAAGACTCCGAGAGGTGAAGTGTGGAACATGGAGGGGTCCAAGGAATAGTAAGATGGGTTACAACGTTTTCCTTAAAAGTCAGTCAGTTCTGAACAGGTTGAATATGCAGTCTGTAAACAGAATGGTTGTAAATGATCTCAAAGCACATTACCAACATGATGTCGAGCTGGGTGAAAGTCTGATTTGTAAAGGCAAATTTTAGACAGCATTTCTCAGGAAAACCATTCCCACGTGTCCTAATTAGAATTCTATTGCTGTGAAGAGACACCATGACCAAAGCAACTCTTAGAAAGAAAGCATTTAATTGGGGGCTTGTTTTCAGTTTCAAAGAGTTAGCCCATTATCGTCATGGCAGAATGCATGGCAGGAAGCCATGGGCTGACAGCTTATATCCTGATGCACTGGCAGATAGGCAGGCAGACAGACAGACAGACAGAGAGCCACTGGGCCTGGTGTGAGCTTTTGAAGCTTCAAAGCCCCACCTCAATTGTTCACCTCCTCCAACAAGGCCACACCCACTCCAGTAAGGCCACACCTCCTAATCTTCCTAAAGAGTCCACCTATTTGGGACTAAGCATGCAAACATATGAGCCTATTGGGGGTCATTCTCATCCAAACGACCACACCACAATTCTCCCCGCTTTTCTTCTATAGGAAGAAGGAAGAAGCCACTCCAGGTGGTTAGTTGGAAGGTTGAACAGGTAACACTGTGATGGAGGCAAAGAAGTATGGTTGGACTGAAGCTCAGGAGAGGACCCGTCTTCTGCCAGGTTGTTATCTTCTGGAACCGGGTTAGGCACAGCTTTATCAGTCAACTTGATATCCAGAGGGGGAAAAAAGCACTGAGGGGAAGCCTTGGCCCAGCAGGTGGAATAGCATCCACCCACAGCTGGGCCTTCCGGGGAGTTTATATAACACCATCGGGTCTGGTAAAACATGTCTTCTGATGTTTCCTCACAGGTGTTAATGAGGGAAACCAAGAGGGATGACATTACAGATTTAAAGTATAAGCTGTGCCATCAGTGTGTTGCTGGGTAGTGAATCCCTTGATCCTTAGCTATTCAGAGCAAAGCAAATCAAAACTACATTGAGGGTCTATCTCGTTCTGAGTTCAGAATGAACATCACCAAGAACTTGAAACAACAGAGGTTGGCATGGACATGTGTGTCTGGGGGTGCCGGGGGAAACAATGTACGTAGTGATGGTGAGAATGTGTCTGGTACTGTGGAGATCGTAAGAGGGGTTCTTCCAAAAATTAAAAAACTAGAACTAATGTATAATCCAGTTTAAGTATATAGCATCCCCCCTCAAAAAAACCCAGTCAATTTACTATAGGAATACCCGCAGATTTGTGTAATTGATGCCGTATATATATAACAGCCAAGATACAGAATAACCCTGGGTGCTCACTAATGGACGAGGGAGAAAAATGTGGCCTATGGGCACAGTGGAGTTTGATTTAAAGAATGAAATTATTTGTAGGAAAACTGATGAAACTGGAAATCATCACATTAAGTGAAACAAGCCATCCTCAGAAAGACAAATATGACACCTTTTCCCTCATATGTAATGAGTAAGGAAAAAGAGGGGAAGAGATGGGATTAAAAAGAGCAATATAGGGGCTGAGTATGATCAAAATCCATTCTTTTATGTGGGAATGTCATGGTGAAACCCCTCACTGAGACGTTGGGGGAAAGGCATGGAGGGGTATTTTAAGAGGCTGAAGAAACGCACAAAGTAGCTGGGGCTGGAGTTGGGAAGCCAAGTCAGAAGGGATTGTGGTGAACTCAAACGCAGCTTGGGCCACCAGTAAGACCTTGTTTCAAAAGCAGTTTTGGGGTGGAGTTAACAGCTTAGCTCGCAAAGTGATTGCTTTACAGGCATGAAGATCTGGGTCCCATGACCCAGAACCCACATTTTAACAGCCAGGCATGGTAGCATACATTCTGTAGTCCCAGCTCCAGGGAGGTGGGCACAGGTTGCTACATGGCAAGTTTCAAAAAACAAGAGTAAAGGGATTTGGGAGATAGTTCAGTTGGTAAAGTGCTTGCTTTTTGAGTGGAATCTCTCAGAACCCACATTTAAAAACAAATAGGTGTAGTGGTGTGTACTTGTAATCCTAGCGCTAGGGAGGTGGGGACAGGTCACTGGCGTACTGGCCAGCCAGTTAATTTTATCAGTGTTCTCTAGGCCAATGAGAGGGCCTGTCCAAAAAACCAAGTTAAGAGGGGCCTTGAGGAATGACACCCAAGGTTGACCTCCTCATGCACACTCATGTGCGCATGTGTGGGTGCACACACACACACTGTTGTGTGACAGACTTCCTAGAGAGATGTGGACAAATGTCTGGTGTCCCGATCTGGTACTAGGGTCCTATAGGATTCCTGGGGAGCTGCTAACCATCTCTCCATACTGGAATCCTGAAGAACCTTGCTTTAACACCTGTTGCCATGGGAGAGGAACGTCCAGTGAGAGTGAAGGCGAGTCAGCAGAAAGCAAAACTTCCTTCTTTCATATCCTTTTCTGTGGGCTGCCACCAGAAGGTGTGGTCCACATTTAGGGTGGGTCTTCTGACCTCAAATAATCTAAGAAAAGTCTACGACAATGGACCCAGCAGCTCGGGTTTTAGTTGATTCCAAACTTCATCAGGTTCACGACCAAAATTAAGCATAACAGTTGGTGCTGAGTTTGAGTTCCTTCTGCTTCAGCCTCTGAATGCCGGGTTACATTTATGTGCTGCCTTAGGGTTTCCATTGCTGTGAAGAGACACCATGACCACAGCATCCCTTATAAAGGAAAATATTTACCTGGGTCTGGTTTACAGCTCAGAGGTTCAGCTCGTTATCGTCATGGCGAGAAGCATGGCTGTGCACAGGCAGCCGTGGTGTTGGAGCAGGAGCTGAGAGCTCTCCATCGGGACTGGCAGGCAACAGGAAGAGAAAGTGAGCCAACTGGGCCTGGCTTCAGCTTCTAAAACCTCGAAAGCTCACCCCCAGTGACACACTTTCTCTAACAAAGACACACATACTTCAACAGGGCCACATCTAGTGGTGCCACTCCCTATGAGCCTATGGGGGGGCACATTCAAACCACCACAATCTCTGACACAAATTCCCATCAGTGGGCGGTGGTGGCGCACGCCTTTAATCCCAGCACTTGGGAGGCAGAGGCAGGTGGGTCTCTGTGAGTTCAAGGCCAGCCTGGTCTACAAGGACAGGCTCCAAAGCCCAAAACAAAACAGAAACAAATTCCCATCAGTTACCCCTCATTCCTGGCTAATTCCAACCCTCAGGACCCAAATCTTCCTTTTTCCTCTTTTTAAAGACGCGTTTATTTTTGCTTTATGTGTTTGAATATTTGCCTCCATTTATGTGTGTGCATCGCATGCGTGTCTGCTGCCTGTAGGGGCCGGATGAGGATATCAGATCCCTTGGTACCGGAGGTACATAACGTCATGAGTGACTGTTGTGAGTGCTGGGAACGAAACCTCAGTCCTCTGCAAGAGCAGCAACTCCTCTTGACTGCTGAGTCATCTTTCCAGCTCCTTCGTTTTCCTATTTTAAAGGGAAAGCTAATCCTCAGATGAGTTACAAAGGTCTGAGACGTGAGGAACGATCTACAACCGAGGCATTACATATTTTCCTGCATTCCTATGATCATGTGACCCAAGCATGTCTATAACTGCAGCTGCTGGGCCTTTACTCTGACTTATCAAATGGCATCCTACGATTGAGCAACAATAAGGTACTTTATCATAGGGACCATTTACAATGGTTTGAGGAGCATGTAAGAATCAGGGGCTCCCGGCGACCCAAGACAAGGAAGGTATGGTTCCCTTATCCGGGCCTGATGGGGATTTGAATAGAACAACTTCACAGGCCTTATGGTGCATTGGCAAGTGGGGGAAATTGAGAACATCTGTCTCACCTTCTGCCTCCGTGCTGCTTCTGGGGCTCCCAGGTAACCAAACCCAACCCAATCATCAGACCGTTAAACTAAAAAGCCATCCCGTTGATTTGCTCTGACAAGACACCTTTTTCATTGCTCTCCCACTCTGCCTCTCTCCCAACTTGACCACTCCCTTCCTTGACGTTCTTCTCCCCATCCTCCCTCTTACTGACCCCCCTCCGGCCAGTTTACCCAGAGGATCTCATTTATTTCCTCTTCCCAGGGCGATCCATGCATCCCTCTTGGGGTCCTTCTTGTTACCTAACTTCTCGGCAGCTGTGGGTTGTAGTCTGGTTATCCTTTGGTTTACATCTAGTATCCACTTATGAGTAAGTACGTACCGTGTTTGTCTTTCTTGGTCTGGGTTACCTCACTCAGGATGATTTTTATCTAGTTCCATCCGTTTGCCTGCAAATTTCATGATGTCATTGTTTTTTTTTTCACAGCTGAGTAAATGGACCACATTTTCTTTATCCATTCTTTGGTTGAGGGGCATCTAGGTTGTTTCCGGGTTCTGGCTAATATGAGTAATGCTGCCTGCACCAATTGGAGAAAGAGAGGGATAAACACCAGTGCAAAGAAACATTCAACAGCGTAAAAGAGAAATAGGGCACCCCCAGGACCTAGTGGCTCCACGACAAGACCAATACAGAAGAAATGACCTTAGGGAGAAACCTGGGAATTGCCAGAAATCCACAAGGATCACCCCCCGGCCCCGCCCACCCAAGAATCCTAGCAATAGTGGAGAGGGTGCCTGACCTGGCCTTCCCCTGAAATGAGATTGGTGACGACCCTAATTATCATCCTAGAATCTTTATCTACTAACTGATGGAAGCAGATGCAGAGATCCACAGCCAGGCACCAGGCAGAGCTCCGAGAGTCCAGTTAAAGAGAGGGAGGAAGGATTATAAGGCAAGATGGAGTCAAGATCATGACAGGGAAACCCACAGAGACAGGGGACCTGAGCTTGTGGGAGCTCACAGACTCTGGACTGCCAGCTGGGGAGCCTGCATGGGACCGAACTAGGCATGTGTTGAAATTGAAAGTCTGCATGTGGGTGACAGCTGTGTAGGTTGGTCTGTTTGGGGGGTCCCTGGCATTGGGACCAGGTACTATCCCTGATGCATGAGCTGGTTTTTTGGACCCCATCCCCTGTGGTGGGATGCCTTGCTCAGCCTTAATACATGAGGGAGCTCCTTGGTCCTGCCTCAGCTTGATGTGCCAGGCTTTGTTGCTTCCCCACGGGAAGTGGGATAAACACCATGAATGGGTTGGGGGTGGGTTGGGGATAGCTCGAGGAGGGGAAGGGGAAGACTGTGGTTGGTATGTAAAATGAATAAAAAAGTTAATAAAGAAAAAGAGGATTTGACAAACTGAGCCACCAAGATGGGATGCTCTTTCACATGTAGATGTGCGATATTCTTTAGATGTCCACTGTTCTCGAGCTGTATCAGTGCGGGTTTCATAATAGGAACTTTGTTTGAGTGTGCTGTTCTGTATTCCTTTAAGTAGCTCCAGTAAACCTCATTGGTTCACCAAAACAAAACAAGCCATTCCATTAAGTTAAAAAGCAAGTAAACATAAAATGTATCTATTCACTTTGGTTTTTTTTTTTTTAATGTGTAGCCCAGACTGGTCTCGAACTCGTGATCCTCCTGCCTCTGCCTCCTTCAGCAAATCCTTCTGGCGTGCGCCACCACAACCAGCCATTTGTTCACTTGTAACATTAAACAATACTTCCTGTTGATCTGCTGGCGTCTTTCAATTCTGATCCTTTGTGGTTTTTCTTTTCAAACTTCCATGGTAGTTCCAGATTTCATTT